GCATAAGAACTAATGTCTTGGAGTTATGGTATCAGAGAAGAGTACTGAATACTCAAAAGATACAATATCTGAATATCTGTCAAAAGAACAAACAGATATGTCTTTGAGAAAGTAAAGCAAGAATACTTCTTGGTAGCAAAGATAACAAAGTTTCATCTCTTGTTGAAGAGCTTGTTATTTCCCCATTTGATAGGTTTTATTTCCTTGTTGATCATAGACAGCTGTGTCAATTTCTGGGTTCTCAATTCTGTTCCATTGCTGTATGTGCCTGTCATTATACAAGTTACAATGCTGTTTTTGCTTACTATCACTGTGTAGTAGGTTTTGAGATTAGGGAGTGCTAGGCCTCCCACTTCATTTTTGTTTCTAGAAGTGTTTTGCTTATTCAGGGTCCCTTTACTCTCCAAATAAACTTGAATAAATTTCCCTTTTGATCTTGAAAAATGAATTTGGTATATGTATTGGAATTGCATTGAATATGTAGATTACTTCTGGTAGCATTGTCATTCTCACAATATTGAGTCTTCCTATCCATAAACAAGGCGCATTTTCCCATTTATTTAGGTCTTTTTATTGTATCTTGCAGAAATGTTCTGTAGTTTTCTTTGTATAGGTTTTTTGTATCTCTAGTTAGGTTCACTCCCAAGTATATCGATTTGTGGTTGGCTATTTTAAATTATATTACTTTCTTGGTTTCCTTCTCTGAGTTCTCTTTGTCACTATAGAGGATTCCCTCTGATTTTTGGATATTGATTTTATATCCTGTCATGCTACTTAATAGGCCTACTAGCTCTAACAGTTTTTTGTTCAGTCTTTGGGGTTTTCTGTGTACACTATCATATCATCTGCGTATAATGATAGTTTAACCATCTCTTTGCTGATCTAAATGCCTTTTATTTCCTCTAAATGCCTTTTATTTCCTTCTCTTGTCATATTGCCCTCGCAAATACTTCCAGTACAATACTGAGTAGAAGTGGTGAAAGAACCATGGCACAACCACTCTGGCAGGCAGTTTGGTGCTTCCTCAAAAAGCTGAACATAGAAATTCCATATATACCCAGCTATATCATTGCTTGGAATATACTCCAAGAAAATGAGAACAGAAGCTTAAATGGAAACTTGTACTCCAATGTTTGTAGCAGCATTATTCATCACCTTAAGAACACGGAACGAGCCCAAGTGTCCAACCATAAATGAATTAATTGAGAAGCTGCGATACATTCATACAAGGGAATACTATGCCACATGCAGGAGCAATGATTTTGTAAATTACTACCTAACTTGGGAGGGACTGGAGAGCATAATGCTGAGTGAACTAACTCAGTTCCACAAGGACAAATACTGTAAAATAAAAACAATTATTATAGAATGAGTGCGAGGATCCAAAGGATGGGGATGGAAATAGAGGGGTGAAGATGGGGTATAGGGTGTTAATCTTAGGGTTTGCACAATTCGATGGGTGGGTAGGGTGAAGGAAATGGGAAGGATCTTTTGTGAAAAACAATGTATTCAAACTTTATAAATAAATCAGTAACAAAAAACCCAACAAAGCTTCATCTCACATACTTTGGGCCTGTTGTGAGGAGCTATCCTTGGAGACAAGGAAGGTCAGCAAAAGAGAGGAAGACCTTCAATGAGATGGACTGACACAGCAACTGCTGAAATGAGCTGAAGTATGTCAGACATGGTGAGGATGGCACAGGGTAGGCGAGGGTTCAGATGTGTGATTCATAGGGCTGCTATAAGTCATACTTGACTCAATGGAACATAACAGTAATAACAACTATTCCATTGTTTTACTGTGTTCTCTGAGCAAAGGCCTTACTTACTTTCAAGCCTCAGTTTTTCTAGTTTTAAAATGAGGTGTACTAAATTTTATTGTTCTCTACTATTTTTCTTCTTGCGCATAATTCACACTGGTTGTTATTGTTGTTGTTATGTGCCGTCGAGTCGCTTCCGACTCATAGCAACCCTATTTACAACAGCCCTAAACCCTGCTCTATCCTGTGCCAATCACACTGCCTCTTGACACACCCATCCCGATTACTCCCGTCACTGAATCAATCCACCTCATAGAGGGACTTCCCCTCTTGCGCTGTCCCTCCACCGTACCAAGCATGGTGTCCCTCTCCAAGGACATGTCCCTCCTTACAACATGTCCAAAGTATGTCAGATGAAGCCCCAGAATCCTTGCCTCCAAGGAGCAGCCTGGTTTAACACTCTCTAGGATGAATCTGTTTGTTTTCTTGGCAGGCCATGGTACATTCAGTACTCTTCTCCAGCACCACAGCTCAAAGGCGTCATTTCTCCTTCTATCCTCCCTAGTCATTGTCCAACTCTCTGATGCATAACAAGTGATTGCAAGGACTATAGCCTGTATCCGACACACCTTAATCTCCAGAGTGACACCATTGCTCTTCAGTACCCTGGAGTGGTCCCTAACAGCAGACTTTCCCATCGCAATAGAGACTAATAATAAATTAGGAAATGTTAAAGTGAGATGATAAATAGAGAATGCAATATATATCTTGCTTGAAAAGTTTAGTTCATTTATTTTAAAAACAGAAATCATTCTAGATTAAACAGTATAGTAGATATATTAAGTCACTTAATGAGCTATTCTTCTAGAATACAATAAAAGGGCAATTTAATAATTTAAGTTTTACGTAAACCAGATAGAAGTTTTACCCAGCAGAAAAGTTAAAACCAATTCCTAGTGTGTGCACCACCACTAATGACAAACACAATCTAAAATTAGTACATTTTTGCTGTAGTAACTACTGGTACTCAAAGAGGACTGCTTATTACATTTTTCCAACAGACTTTCAGTGCAGAGATTTTTGAACTGTTTTGAACGCTTTTAGTGTGTTAACAGGTGAAGAATACTAAACAAGTTAACAAATACAAAAAATAATTTTGTCAATAATAACCAATTTTACTTTGAAAATAAAGACAAAAACTATCAACAAATGAAATCTTAGGATCAGAAGTTAAATAAAAACTCCACTTTTTTTCACTTACTATTGTTTTTGTGTCAGCAAACTTAGCTTGGAATTCTGGGTCATGAAATGACTTTTGGGTATTTGTCGACACTCTGAAATTTTAGGTTTTAAGAACAGTGGAGTTTGTGAGTATACATTTTAATCCTCTTTTTAAAGGAATTCCCCAAAACAGCATAATTTGTTGTTCTGGTTGTTGTTATTATGTGCCATCCCTAAACCCTGTTCTATCCTGTGCCAATCTTACTATCTCTGACACACCTACCCCCATTACCCCAGTCACGGAATCACTCCATCTCGTTGCGGATCTTCCTCTCCTGCGCTGTCCCTCCACCCTCTCAAGCATGCATCATGTTCCTCTCCAAGGATTGGTACCACTTTGCAACATGCCCAAAGTATGTCAGATGAAGCATGATTAAGCATGATTAGAAATTCTAAGTAACTGTAAGTTTATAAATCCTACAACCACATGCCACAATTCACAAAGCACTTTAGTAGAACTTGATATTAGTTTTTTAGAAATTGTCTAATCTTTTAAATGAAAACTTATGTACCTTGTTATTGTGTATTATTAACTGCACTGAATAATTTACTTTGACCTTATTCTTCATTCATAAAATAAACAAAAACCAAAACAATATATGCAGCCAATACTGGTGAAATAAATTAAAGGTACGTAAAAATAAAGATATATATATATATATATAATGTTCATTTGTCAAATTATATCTTTTAGTAGTGCCAATTATAACAAATATAATAAAGTATATGCCGGGTCAGCAATCTAAGTATTTTAAGATGTCACCACATTGATGGAAGGCATCCACACTAATAATAACAGATGTGCTTTTTGGTAGACATAAACAAGATCCTAAAAGCTATAGGGAAATAAAGAGGTTTTACCTATTTATTTACCAAAGCAACTTTCAAATGTAAGTACAAAGTTGGAGGTCTACATGACTTTAGAACTTACCATTCAACAACTGTAATCAAAAGACTGTGATGCTGTCAAAGACTCAACAAATACAATGCTGTAATAGGATAAAATTCAGAAATACACCTTCATTTATACACTCATTTCTCAGTTATGGGTATTGATATTAAGCAAAAATGACAACAACAAATCACAAAATGGAAGATGACGCCATTACACAACTTCCAAATATTAAATATTATTGTTAAATAACTGCCAAATTGTACTGTGACATAACTGGCAAACAGTATCATTACAACACTTGCCAGAGCACTGAAAATTATGACCCTTATAACCGACACACAACCTTAACTATCACAGTTATCATCACTTTCACCTTGCACCTCGGCCTTCATTAAATAGTCAGATAATAGATTTTAAAAAACTACTGCTGTAAATGTGGACTACCAAATAACAAGAAATTTGGTAACTGAGGAAGGTATACAGACAAGGGCATCAAAACAATATAATGGGCAAATATGATCCTTTAAAAATATTGCTGAAATAACTGGATAACCATAACTATCAATCACTAACATAAAGACAAATATTTTTTCAAAAAAATATGGGATTATAAACTTAAACATAAAAGTTGAAACCTAAAGTTCTTTTATAAAAATGAATAAAACAACTACAGATTTTATCAGTTAATGCAAAATCTTTTCTTCCTTTTTCTACCAAATTACTTCCCAATCCTTTATCATAATGAAGTGGTTATACACAGCACTCAGGATAGCTTTCAGTTCAGTCTTAGTTATGTTGTGGGTAACAACAAACTAGAAGTGAAATTTGGCAGGTCAAGGTTTATTTTTATATTATTATATTTATTAATCAAAATTTGGGGCAAATAATAGACCTTTGATGAACAAGATTTCACCCAAATGGTTCCAAAAGACCATTTTCTGGTCTTTAAGACAACTTTATTTTAAATATAAGAATTTTTATATAATGTCCTACTTGCTTCTCTTATCTCCCTTCCAAAAGTGGGTAAAAAGAAACATTAAAACATGCAATATAGAGCCATTTACCGGAGCCCATAGAGAACTGTTCCATCAGGATGCAGGCGGATCATGCGATTTTTCACCGTAACCCCATGCACAAATGATTTCTTGTCATTCAGAAAGTAGGTGTCTGGTACCCAGAGTTGATCAGCTACTCTGTTGTCTAGAGTAAGGTTTAGTGGGATTCCAGAGTAAGAAAGTCTCTTGTCTTTCCAAGATTGCTGGAAATACATGGTGAGTGTATAATCCTGTGAAATAAAAGAACACAAAAAGAAAGTTTACTTCCATCATCATCTAAGGGGTGTTGTTAAAAAATTGACAACATGTGTCAGTGTGTACAGATATGTGTCCAGAAACTCAGTCCTCCTGTTTTCAAAGATCCTATATTTCAATACATTGAAATTTGCACTTCCAAGCAAGGGACACTCAAAAGATTAAAGGCACTACAGCAAAGCTGGAATTTATGCATAAAACTTTCCATTATCATGAGGTGGTTATTGTTGGTAAGTGTAACGTCAGTCTAGAGTCAGACCTGACTCTCCAGCAGGTTTGCAGAGGCAGTAAACTGCTTGGGAGGAGACCACTCATCTGTCTCCTACACAGCAAACGGTAGACTGGTAATGTGTGCATTTGGGTTTGCAGCACAACTTCTTACCACTAGGTTGGTTATCAAAGCTCCCCTGGTGAGGATCATGAGGTAAATACATTTAACTTAATTTTAAGGTGGAAAACAATAAAGGACACTGTACTGTACTAAGAGATCCTTATTCAAAAAAACAGGTTCTCTCTGGATATTATATTTACATTATTTGGGGGAGAATGTTTGCTAAATTAAAAAATAGAGTATTTTTCAGAAAAGAAATGCCTTTCAATGAATAGTGCTAGAATAGGTTAGGCATTATTATTATTTGGTTCTTTATGGTGAATTACAACATGCACATGGAAATGTTTCTATGGCCTGAGAATTCACGTCAATGGTGAAACCAAAATTCCTTTCTGAACTCATTCCTATGTCTTTTTAAGGATTTGGTTTGAGTTCAGAGTTAAGGTTGTATCTGAAAATATATTTCTTTGCCTTCCTTAAAATACTATACATAACGAAATCCCTCTATAGGTTTATTTTTATTTTTGTCCAGATTTACTTTTAGCAGTGAGGGGGGGGGGAAGGAATAACTGCACTCAGTAAATGGTTCCAACTATCTGGGAAGGGTAGTACAATAACCTGAGATCTTTTCAGTTGTTACTTGCTTTTAAAGAAAGATTTTTACTAATACCAAATATTATTGCCTATTAAAAGGAAATAAGTGGTAAAAAACACAAAGTCTTTAAGTTTTGAGACCCAGTACTAGAAAAACTGCAAGCAAGCTTGTGTCATTTGCATAATGTAGACTGTAGATGAGTTTTCCTCCAATTCTGATGCCACATTCCTCCTCATACAAGCCTAGCCTCTTGAATTATCTGTTCTACACATAGATTGAAAAAGTATGGAGACAGGACACATTCCTGACACACTCCTTTCCTAATTTTGAACCAGTAGTATTTCCTTGCTCTTTTCTGAGGCTTACTTCCTGAAACTGAGGAAGAATTGATACACTTGTTGTAAAAGGTCAGGGACTGTAGTCTTCAATATGGATTGAAGCTCAACATCAAGAAGACAAAAATTTGTACCACTGGGCCAACTGGCAGCACCATGATAGACAGAGAAGAGATTGAAGTTGTTAACAATTACAGCTTACTCGGCTCCATAGTTGGCATCAGAAGTCAGGAAATCAAAAGACAAATTGCACTGGGAAAATCTGTTTTCAGGGACCTCTCCAGAGTACTGAGAAGCAACAATGTCAGTTTAGAGACAAAGGTGTACCTAATCCAGGCCATGGTCTTTGCAATTACTTTCTGTGCATCAGAGAGCTGAACAATGACTAAGGATGACAGGAAAAAAAAAAGATGATGCCGTTGAGTTGTGGTGCTGAAATAATCTTTAACATACCATGGATTGCAAAGCAAACAAATTAGTCTGTCTGTCTTGGAGAGGGTGAAACCAAGTATCTCCTCAGAGGCTAGGATTTTGAAGCTCTGTCTCACACACTTTAAGCACGTGGCCAGGAAGGACCAGTTCTTGGAAAAGGACTTCATGCTTGGAAGTATGGAGGGACAGCGCAGAAGAGGAAGACCCCAAATGAGATGGATTGATACAATAATTAGGGCAATGGAGGTAGGTGTGTTGAAGTCAGTGAGACTGGCTCAGGAGAGGGTACACTTCAGAGTTGTTGTATACAGAGTGGCTCTGAGTCATAGGTGACTCAACTGCAAATAACAACAATAACAACAAACAACAACAACATAAGAAAAACAGTAAGTCTGTTTTTCTTTTCTTTTTCCTTTAAAGAATATTTAAATGTTGATTTATTGACAGGCTTAGAAACAAAACAAAATAAACCCTCTCAAAACACAAATTCATGATCCATGAGTCAGTTTTGATGCAGTGACCCAACAGGGTGGATTAGAAAAGGGTTTCAAGCTTGTAATCTTGACAAAAGTAGACTCCTAGTTTGTTCTGCAAGAGTAGCTGTGGGTTCAAACTACCAATTCTCAGGTCAGCATTTGAGTAATTTAATCACTGTGTCACCAAAGCTCCATTGAATAATGCTGCTATTGTTGTTAGATGCTATCAAGTCAAGTACAACTCATAGCGACCCTATGAACAACAGATATGAAACCAGTTCTATCCTGTACCATCTTCACACTTCCTGACACAGTAGAGTCCATTGCAGGAGTCATTTTGTCAATCTACTTGGTCGAGGGTCTTCCTTGTCCTTGCCAACCCTCCACCTTTCATGTCCTCCACCATCATGTCTTTCTCCAAGGAATAGCCCCTCCTAGCAACATGCCCAAAGTATGTGAGGTGAAGCCTCATCATTCTTGCCTCCAAAGAGCACTACAGCTGCACCCTCTTTACGAAATATGTGGGGGTTTTGCCATCTATTGGATATTCAGTGCTCTCTTCCAACACCACAGCTCAAAGGTATCTATTCTTCTGTCATTCTTACTATCCAGCTCTCAAATGCTGAGCAAGTGATTAGAAAGACCATGGCCTGAATCAGATGTACAGACTAGTTAAAAAAACAAAACAAAACACCATTGTCTTCTGGTCTAACTCCTACATGGTTACTGTATGGTAACACTGTTAACTTGGCTCACACTTTCTATCTGGGTAAATAGAACTTCAGCTCCCCCCCTCCTTCGATAACAGAGAATTAGACATTTGAGAAACATTAAAAAGAAAGTATTCAATCTGGCTTATAAATACTAATCACTTATTCATTACATTCAAGAATATTTGCACTCCTGCTGGGGTAATGAGGATAGATGTATTGAAAACAGTAAGATTGGCATGGGATAGATCAGAGCTTAGGACTGTTGTGCACAGGGTCATTATGAACTGCAGGTGACTGAATGAAACATTACAACAGCAACAACTTAGAATTTTTCAAACAACAATTCAAAATCATTCCTTCAGTTTCACTGTCAAGGAAGGCATTTTTTTCTTCACTATTATTCATACTTAGGGACCTTTCCAAATTATTGAGGAGTAGTGATATCAGTTTGAAGACTAAGGTGCACCTAATTCAGGCCATAGTCTTTCTGATCACTAACTCTGCATCTGAGACCTGGACAATGAATAAGGATGACAGAAAAAGAATTGACGCCTTTGAGTGGTGTTGGAGAAGAGCACTGAACATAATATGGATGGTCAAGTGAACGAACAGACATATCTTTGAGAGGGTGCAGCCAGAATGCTCTTTGGAAGCACGGGTGGTGACGCTCTGCCTCACATACTTTGGACACGTTGCTAGGAGGTTCTGTTCCTCGGAGAGAGACATGATGTTGGGAAAAGTGGAGGATCAGTGAAAGAGGAAGAGCCTCAATAAGGTGGATGTATACAGGAAGTGTGAGGATGACACAGGACAAGACTGGGTTCAGATCTTTTGTTCATAGGGTCATTATGAGTTGTATTCAACTTGATGGCACCTAACAACAACATCATTATTCATACAATTTGTGGTTGTTGTTTTAAGTGCCATCATTTGCTTCGACTCATAGTAACTCTTTGAATAACAGATCTGAATCTTATCCTATCTTGCACACCCTCATGATTGTTGATATGTTCAAGTCCATTGTTACAGTCACTGTGTCACTCTTGTCTTCCTTTCTCTCGCTGACATTCTCGCTACCTTTCCCAGTGTGATTTCCTCTTCTAAAGTCCGGTTGCCTCTTGACAACATGCCTAAAGTTTACGGAAGTAAAATTTCATCATCTTTACCTCTAAGGAGCATCCTGCTTACTCTTTCCTCAAGACAGTCTTATTTATTTTTTTGGAAGTCCATGGGATATTCCATATTCTTCACCAACACAACAATTCAAAGACATGATCTTTCTGTCATTTTTATTCATTGTCGAACTTTCAGATGCATAGGAAGCAACTCAAAAGACCATAGCTTGGATCGGGCACACCTTATGCATACAATATGCGATAGTCTAAAACTTTACCTTCACCTAAAGAAGTAGTAGTAGATGGTGGGCTCTATAAGTTATTCCCAAGTTACAAACAAGATTCTTTGCTATATCTGTAAGTGAAATTTGTAGAGAATTAATTCTTCTCAAGCATTCGTTTTAGTTCTAGAGAAAAGGGCCCTGGAGAAATAGTATGTTTGCATGCTGAGCTGCTAACCAAAAGACCAGCAGTTTGAATCCACCACCTGCTCCTTGAGGAGGGGCACGGGGAAGGTTGCCTATTCCCCTTAATGAGTTTGTTGTTGTTGTTATGTATAATCAAGTTGCCTGTGACTCATACCAACCCTATGCACAATAGCTCTGATGCCTATCCTGTCCTGAGCTAGTCTCACCAACTTCAATGCACCTACCCCCATTGCCCTAGTTACTGTATCAATCCATCTCGTCCTGGGTCTTCCTTTCCTGCATTGTCTCTCCATCCTTCTGAGGTTCTTCTCCAAGGATCAGTCCCTCCTGGCCACATGCCCAAAGTATGTGAGATGGAGCTTCAAAATCCTAGCCTCCATAAAGAAACTTGATTTCATCCTCTCCAAGACAGACACATTTGTTTTCTTGGTGGTACATGGTATGTTCAAGACTCTTCTTCAGCACCACAACTCAAAGTCATCAATTCTTCTTCTTTCATCTTTAGTAGTTATTCAGCTCTCTGATGCATAGCAAGTAAAGAACATGGACT